GATAGAGAATTACATATATGATATATATATATATATATATATATATATATATATATATATATATATATAAAAATTGTAATTAATTTAAATCTCTATTCTAATTCTATTCTTTCAAAAAACGTGTCTCTTTTAGACTTACACTATTCATTTACTGCTTGTTTTCTTTTTAAAAAAACACTATATTTTCTAATCTTTTTGTATTCTATCTATTTGTTTTCTTTTTATTTATTATACAATTAACAAAAGCAAAAAAGGCCTCTAACACTAGCTTGCTCTATTCTTTTTCTATTCTATCGGTTTTATTTTTATATATTATATAATAAAAAAAATGCTATAAACCTTGCTATGTGTACTGCGTTAAGCTAACTGAGACTTGTTATAGCACTTGCATATCATTGCCCTCTTGTTGATTTTGATTGCTTCCATTGTCCTCATTAGTAAGTCGCTTTAGATAAAAGCGTCTGCTAAATGACTAATATATATATATATACATATATGCGCGTGAGACCCTGGAGCACAAAACCAGTCATAAGTAGCACAGGTATATTTGTAGTAATAGCCAACAATACATTGAATGGTTCAAAATATTGAATTTTCTTTTATGCCAAATATCATTCGAATATTAAGTAAAGATCATGTTCCATGAAGATATTTTGTACATTTCCTAGCGTAAATAAATCAAAACTTAATTTTTAAATAGTAATATGTATTGCTAAGAACGTCATTTGGACAACTTTAAAGGCGATTTTTCTCAATATTTAGATTTTTTTGCACCCTCAGATTCCAGATATTCAAATAGCTGTATCTCAGCCAAATATTATCCTATCCTAACAAACCATACATCAATGGTTTATTTTTTTATTAATGGTTTATTTATCAATGGTGAATTACTTATTCAGCTTTCAGATGATGTATAAATCTCAGGTACAAATAAAATTACCCTTATGACTGGTTTTGTGGTCCAGGGTCACATATATAATGTGCCGAGAATCAAAATTGAGCAGTGAAATATTAAATCGGAAGTTTGCGTTTATTCAGCTCTCGGGACACACACAGCCTACTTCCTTCACCATATGTTTGGACTGGAAAGTAAACAAACAATGCAAATATCACGCTGGTTAACTTAAAAAAAAAAGTTGTCTTATATTTCCCAAAACAAATACAGCGCTACATGACAGCCCAGCTTTACCTTTTTATCCGGAGAATGCACTGCGGAGACGCCTTCTCGTTGTCCCAGTCGGTGCTCAGCGTGGGATCCCAGGAGGTGGCGTGAATTTGGGACAGGAGGCCCGCTCCGGCCGGGACCCCCGACACGATACCGGTCGGCAGAGACGGAGGAACGGCCATCACGGGGACTGAGGGCACGACCAGGCCTGTGTCTGCCGGAGGCGGCGAGGCTGATGAGTGGCCCGGTACGGAATTACCCAAACTCGAGGACAGCTGCGCCCCGTGGCCCTGCACAGACCCGTTGGCCTCCTCCCCAACGCTATCCGCCATCGTCGATGAACTGACCGAGCCGCTGTCAGATCAATCCGTTACCAATGCAGTTTCAGTTTCTCCTCGCTCGGAGGCAAGTGGAGGAGCAGGGCAGGAAGAGAGAAATGACTCCTACATATTCTCCCCTTTCCCCTCGTCCGACCTCAACTATACCAACCCAATGGCGAAAGCAGCGCCGATTTTAACCTATTATCTGAAGTAAAGTTAGCTGAGCTTAGAGACGCGTTTATCATTCGCATCAGTGAGTAACTGAGTCTAAACGCGCATAAACGTAGCTTCTCCTCGTCTGGCCTGGCCTGTTTATCAGCGTTGTTTCATTTGTCCTCACTTCCTCCTCGTTTAGAAGGAAATAGTGCCATCTAGCGGTGCACTCCTAGAAGGAGATTCAGGATTCAAACGATTCTTTCGGTATAACAAAACTCTAAATAATGTGTTTTTAAACTACACGTCAAACTGTCATATGAAAACAGTCCTATACAGTAACCATTACTGGTTCATTTGGAGTCAAACAGTAACTTGAGGTTCAGTGAGTCGTATTCATTCGTAAGTGTTTGATTCATTAAAAAGAACCGGGAATCGGACCATATTGGCCGCTCTATTTATTCACCGATTCATTTAAAACGAATCAGTTCATACGAGTCATTTGTCAGAGAATCGGTCTACATTAGCCGCGCTCGCTTTGATTTACACCTAGTCATTTAGCAGATGCTTTTATCCAAATAAGGGCATTAGAAGCAATCAAAATCAACAGAAGAGCAATAAAATGCAAGTGCTATGACAAGTCTCGGTTAGCCTATAGCCTAACGCAGTACACGTAGCAAGGTTTATATATATATATATAATATATATATATATATATATTTGGAAAGCTCATATGACAGGATAACTTCAATACCGAGTGCCCACAAAATATTTGGCAGGTAACCCTGGCTACCGACAACATTTCTACATTGGTTTCTCTAGGAACAAAATATGAGATGTCCTTCAAACAAAGCTTTTTATGACAAGGAGTTACTAGTTTTACAGTAGCAATTAATTACAGCAAAGCAGTGACTATGGACATTACTTAAGACTAACATACTTTTATTACACGCATAAGTGAAGCTTTAAACTAAAATTCAGTTTACACCAACCGAGACTGGTTTAAGCGGTTTGATGGAACTGAGATGAGGGGGGTAATCTGTTACGTTGCATAAGGTGTCATCTTGTAAGACCTTAAGTACTTTTTTTTCCAGAAACCATTGCAAACTCAATGATTGTCATGTATTTTTGCATTGCTAAATATTTTATTAAACTAATCTGGAACGCAGTACACGTAGCAAGGTTTATATATATATATATAATATATATATATATATATATTTGGAAAGCTCATATGACAGGATAACTTCAATACCGAGTGCCCACAAAATATTTGGCAGGTAACCCTGGCTACCGACAACATTTCTACATTGGTTTCTCTAGGAACAAAATATGAGATGTCCTTCAAACAAAGCTTTTTATGACAAGGAGTTACTAGTTTTACAGTAGCAATTAATTACAGCAAAGCAGTGACTATGGACATTACTTAAGACTAACATACTTTTATTACACGCATAAGTGAAGCTTTAAACTAAAATTCAGTTTAAACCAACCGAGACTGGTTTAAGCGGTTTGATGGAACTGAGATGAGGGGGGTAATCTGTTACGTTGCATAAGGTGTCATCTTGTAAGACCTTAAGTACTTTTTTTTCCAGAAACCATTGCAAACTCAATGATTGTCATGTATTTTTGCATTGCTAAATATTTTATTAAACTAATCTGGAGGTATTAAGGGGATACTTCACCCAAAAAAGAAAATTGTCATTGTCAGAAGTTCTATTTAAGGACATTTTTTGATAAACATTCCCCAAATCCAATATTAGTTTTAAAAACACACCAGCCTAGTCTACCTTTCCTCAACAACCTTGGATCCAAAAAGCGGAAAAACAAGAGCAACAGCAAACTGATTTCAACCATTTATTCAGATGGCCTTATGTGAAGTGAGTTCTTACATAACTTTCAGATAGAGGAAAAAAACGGTACAGGGGAACATAAAAACGGAGTTTCTTGTAGTTTTGTTGGAATGGCGGTGCCACGGCCTAAACTGCGTGTCAGAGTTACAATCTCCAGATCAAGGGAGTCGAACCGCGAGAGAAAAGACATCCAAATTACATGGCATCCAAAAAGCGGAAAAACAAGAGCAACAGCAAACTGATTTCAACCATTTATTCAGATGGCCTTATGTGAAGTGAGTTCTTACATAAAACTTTCAGATAGAGGAAAAAAACGGTACAGGGGAACATAAAAACGGAGAGTTTCTTGTAGTTTTGTTGGAATGGCGGTGCCACGGCCTAAACTGCGTGTCAGAGTTACAATCTCCAGATCAAGGGAGTCGAACCGCGAGAGAAAAGACATCCAAATTACATGGCGAACAGGATGAGGAACGCCACCATCAGACAGAACAGACCCATGGCTTCAGACAAAGCGAAGCCCAAAATGGCGTAGGAAAAGAGCTGCTGTTTCAGGGAGGGATTCCTGTAAATTGAGAAAAAGCCATTTAGGCACAAGCTACATGTATAACAAATAAACCAAGTTTAAGAGGCTGATTACCTGGCATAGCCAATAATGAGGCTGCCGAACACCGTCCCGATTCCTGCTCCTGATCCAGCCACACCCACCGTGGCAGCACCAGCACCAATGAACTTGGCCGCTGTGTCAATATCTCTAGATACAGAGCTGGTCTGGAAGCCCCGGGTTACATTAAGAAGGCTGGCTTCACTGACTGGCAACAGAGCAGCCTGAGAAGGGCAAGAAATATAAGTATGTGCAAGAGAAGCTGCAAGTCACATGGAAGGCACTTTTTTTTTACCTGTTCAGTTCTTGCTTCTGGTCTGTTGAACACCACTGAAACAGGCCGGGCCAAAACCCTGGATCCTCCACGGACCTGAGGGAGAAAAAAAAATTCAGAATGAGAACCAAATTAATGTCAATATGATATGCATTGTTTTTCTATTAACAAACCTGAACACAAAGCATGTTTCTGATACAAATATTTTATGTGAGTGAGTACAAGAACCCAATCGGTATTAATGTTATCAACTTTAACAACCTTAAAGTTGTTAAAGTTGTTAAACTTCTCTGCACTTGCAGAGAAGAAAAAAACAACAACAATGTGAGGGTATTTCTTTACTTCTCTAGCTCCTTAATCTAGCTTCTGAATAAACCTGGCATCGTTTACTATGAATATTGATGGCTTTGTGAAAAATTCCTTATGTTCCTCTATTGCAAGTCACTTTGAATGAAAGCATCTTCTAAATTCATAAACGTAAACTTAACACAAGCCTTTAAATGCATGATTATAAATGTGGTTAGAACTAATATTAATGTAGCCAATCACTTCCATGGAAGTTACTCAATACTCATAACATGCCTCTAGATAGACATGGCATTAAGGTCATTTTCTGAGACTGTCAATGGACTGACAGTATTTGAGACTGAATACATACCACAGCAGGTGAGGTGATAAACTTAGCACATGCGTACATGTTTGGAGCCTGTGGAGAAGAAAGATGTTAGACCGGTGAAAGAAAAGCACTAGTGTCATACACAGCATGGCATGAAATTTAGTGTTCTATACACAGTGATGTTTATGGAAAGCGACAAAGACAGGAGAGGTTTGTGCCATTGAGACTTAAAAGTTACAACTCACTTAGCGACCGAAGAGACTTCCAATTTAAGACCATGCCATTCGGAGAAAGCAAATGAGATATTAAATAGTTCCAGAATTTCATCAGCATCCAAACCAAAAGACTCTTTATATGCATACAGACCATCCGTTTAGATCTGCTCGGATATGTGAACATCCAACCAAAGGATGCAAGACTGCTTCAGCCCAAGAGCACATCCCCTGGAGGTCAGTGGTCAAACATGGCAGCATAGAGGTCATGGGCTGGATGTTTGACTACGGTAATACAAGTTTTTACCCACAATAAGATGTACAGATTGGAGGGATAGTTTAAGCCATCAAATCTGAGGTTATTAGACAGAGCCTGTTGAACAGTCCACATTGCGACACTAGCAGCATAAATCCAGCCATAAATTCTGTACTAAATATTTTCCTCTTATGCATGTTTTATTTAATTACATATTTGCCATTCAAAGTTACCTAGGTTGTCTATTTTGACTTATTTTCGGTCACAGTATGGATAACCTTTAGAACAGCCTGAGAATAAAGTCCATACTAGTTTCAAAATACACTATTAAGTACGAAAGGACATTAATAATCTTTCCCAAGATTACTAATCTTAAACTTTAGGTGTTGAACTTGCCTGGAAACTGCTCAGGCGGACAGGCTGTAGAGTGAAGGTCACCAATAGCTTTTACTGTTTTTTTTTATTGAAACTTAAAACGCATGTAAACCGTCTTACAACATGAAACAGACATAATTTATAGCTGCACTTCATTGTAGCATAAAAATGCATGCACTTGCATGGTTTAGGCGCAGCGCCAGATTGAGGGCCCAGCGCGAGTCAGACATTTTGCAAGCGTCACGAGCGATATGTGAATAAAACCTGCCTGCATTTAAAAAGCACTATAAATCTCGAAGCTAAGGCGCATTTGTGCTATTTACCGGTTGCTCGACGTGTTAGGGTCCTAAAATCTAATCGCAAACGGATTTATTCATTCATTCCCATGAAATGACTTTGACAAGCGGCTAGCGTAGCTTTAGCAACGCGCTTCTCTGAATGGCACTGTAGTTATCTGAGCCGGATCAACAACTTCCGCACACTTTCACAGCTTAACAAAAGCAAAGCTGCCCATTATGTATCTCTAGACGAATGTAGAGTAAACCGGACTCACCTATTAGATACAACACACAAGGCCCGGGGTTACAGGGACAAGCTTGCAGCTAACTTAGAAGCAACGAGTACTCCGTGAAAACTGTCACCTTGTCATTTATAAACTTCGGAACTACGTCCTCGTTTGTGATTGGGCAGAGGGTCACGTTTGCCTCCTCTGATTGGCTACAAGGTATGTCAACACAAACAACGTAACCAATCATGCACGTTGTCAAGAAGGCGGCCTCTCTTTGATTGGTTTAAATGATTTAAGGAAGAACGCCGGGGAAGTCATGAATCGCTTCCCGTGTCCCCTGTTTCTATTGGCTGCTTAGGGTGGAAATCACGCCTTGTAGATTTTGTAATCTTTTTTTTTTTAATTGCAGTTTTTAGAAGAAAGAACTTACAAAGGCAATAACAAATAAATTATATAAAAACAAATAAAACAATAAACGAAAACAAAAAATAAGCAATAAGAA